TTTCTTTTTTTTGCGGGCAGGTGTTTTCTCCCCACATCCTCACCCCTCAAAGAAAAAGAAAAAAAGGGAGGGGATCGCCTCACCGCCCGCGCGTGACTTCATGCCATGATGCTTCGTACATGCGGTGTGTGTCACTCTTCGCTGCTCGCCGCGCTGCCGACCTCGCGCGCGCCTCCCCACCGCCCCTCACGGCCAGTCGCGGTAGGGGTACGGGTTCATCACGGCGCCGCGGAAGGTGCGTTCGCCGGAGTCCGCGTCCATCTCGCCAATGACGGAGACCAAAAGCGTCATGTCGTCCTGCTTCCCGCCCTCGTAGTAGGCGCCCCCCGCCACCGCCTTGCGTGCGTACGGCGTGTCAGCGTGAAGGTCCCTCGCGCAGCTCCGCGCCTCGCGCACAACGTCCTCGGAGCCCTTCGCCAGGGCGCGCATCGTTTCCTCAAAGAGCTCGACCCGCCCTCCCCCCGTCCGCAGCGGCACTTGCATGCCCGGCGAATGTTGTAGGCGAACTTCATTCACAACTGACCACACCAGGTCCGCGGCGCGGTGTGGGAAAACGTTATCGAAGACGCCATCGCTACCCAGAAACAGTAAATCGCCACACTCGACGGGGAAACGGTACTTCAGTCCGCGAGAAGGCACGTCGCTGCTACCTTGGCCCAACTGGTACGGAAAGTCCAAGTCGTGTGTTTGCTCGTCCGTCATGAAAACAATCCTGCCTCGCCGAACTATCAGGGCTGTGCAATCCCCAACACTACAGACATCTAAAATACAGTTACCGTACCCGCCCCGCACGCCCATTAAAGCCGCCTCGTCCTCAGTTGGCGGCTGAAGCGTCGCCACCAACGCCGTTGCCGTCCCCTCAATCTCGTCCGCCTTGCACATGTCGTAGGCACGCTGTAAAACTGCAAGAGAGGAGGGAGGATTGTCCCCCAACAACTCATCCTCGACGTAAGAATACATCGCCCGCGCAAGCGCCGCACTATACAGTCCCGCATCCACAGAAGTGTTCTCCCTCCACCAGCTCACCCCGTCCAACACTGCCTGAACGCCTAGCAACGACAGAAAGGCATCCTCACCGCCAGAATCCTGCTTCGCCGGATGTGGGAAAAACTGTACGCATCGGTAGTAAAAGCTAAGCAAATTCGGCTTCCCAAAGCCACACAACAACCGCGACATAACTCGCAAAAAAAAAAAACAGGAACCACGGCCACAGTTCCCGCGCCCTTCACTACGCCACCAAGGAAAGAAAAAATATATATATATATATTAAAAGATAGCATAAGAATCACAAACAAAAGAAAAAACATCAAAAAAAAAGGACACACACGAAAACATCTTCAATCCCATACAGAATCTATGATGCATCGCCACAACACCGCCGCGGAGGCGCAAGCGGCGCACACCCGGGTGAAGGGCAACCGCAGCTCACCATCACTGGCGATGGGGAACACACACACAAGAAACAAACAAACAAAAAGATTTCTAGTAATGGGTAACGGACAACAACACCGCCGCCACAAGGCAGGAGGGCGCGCCGTCATCTATCAGGCGCACCAGCGAGGCAACTCGCAGGGCCGTAAAGCCAGACAAGAGGCGGGCTCTACTTCTTCTTTGGGGCCTTCTTCACGGCCTTCCTCGGCGCCTTCTTCGCCGCCTTCTTTGCCACGGGCTTCTTAACAGCCTTCTTGGCAG